GGCTTTCATGTTACATCTCAGTTATCATCTGTTCTGTCACTGCTCTTTTTAATTCTAATAATTTACTCCTTGATCACTGTCATTCATATCTTCACTTCCTGACAGTATTTTTTTGGCTTCTTCATAGAGCTTGTCTTTTACTGCTTATATTTTTGCTCCTTTTAAGATCTTTTCCAATCTCTGCTGCTTATATTGTTGGCCACCACATCAGTGGTTCTGACCCTCTTGGTCAGCTATTTATACAGGAACATTAAATAGATTATATTTCCCTAGTATGAACCTCAGTGGTGAGTAGATTAAGTTTCTGTGTACAGTTACAGTCAGCTTACAAATCTGATTTATCAGTTTTATTACAGCTCTTTGGTAAGTTCTGGGTTGGTTCAAAGTCTAAATGAGAAGTCAGCACATGTTGTATTTGTGCTATTGCTGACACTAAGATTGTTCTTTTTCTGTCTCTTGAGGATGAAATCATTCTTTCTGCAATGGCCATGTTTTCTAGAAAGTTGCAATATAGCAAGAGCATATTTCTCCCAGTGTCTATTATGAAAATTTCCAAGCATGCAGTGAATTGAAAGAATTTTGGATCTGATACCATATGCCTACAGCCCAGCTGCTGCTATCACTATTTGTATTGCTTTATCACACACATATTCATACCTCTACTGTTGATCCATCTTAAATTTTTTACTGTACTTCAAAGTTAATTCCTGACATGGGCACGCAGCTCATTGTTTAAATGATTTTTAAAGATAGCTATTCAGTTGTCTAAGAATAAATTATGGCCTTCTAAATGTGATTTGTTCTATAGAACTTTCATTTGTAGGAATGTCTGATTAATTCAGTCAAAGAAGTAAAATAAATGGAAAATACTGTCTTTTAAATGGGTAAGTATAAAGTGTCTCTATTAACTTTTAGAGCTCTCTCACTAGAAGGTCTCACTTGATCATTGTTACTGACTAAATAAGAAAGGCACACATTTAACAGACCGCTGTATTCTAAACTACATTGTCTTATGTTTCTTAAGAAGTCATTAGGATGTGAAGAAACTGTAGAAAGTAACCTATGTCTCTTGTGGGAGTTTTGATTATTAATGGCTGATAAAAGTGTCATCAAAGGGACAGAAATCAGGGAAATGCCCTACTTCATTTCTTATCTTCTCTTTTTCTCCTTTCCATTCCTTTTCCTCACTTTCTTCCTCCTCCTCCCCCCTCCACCTCCTCCTCTGCCGCCTTCCTCTCCTCTTCGTTTTTTCTTTAGTAATACTTGGAGAAAGGTATATACTTTATTGTGTTTATTTGCTAAGGGGAAAGAGAAAGAAGAAGCCAAATGATTAGATGAAAGGGTCATAAGAAGGTTGTACAGGCCTTAATCCAGCACCGTGGGTGGCTGAGGAAGAAGGATTGCAAGTTCCAGCCCAGCCTGGAGAGTTTACCAGTACTGTGAGACCTTATCTAAAAAACAAAGAGCAGGGGATGTAGCTTAGTGCAAAGGCTCAGGTGCGGGGGGATCCCCAGTACCTCAAAAGGGACTATGGAGGGGGACAGTGGAGGGCAGAGAGTAGACTCTGAAGGGTTGGCAGACTTTTTTTGTGAAGTGCCAGAGATGGTGTTCATTTTAGGCTTTGCAAGCCATACAGTCTGTGTTAAAACTACTCAACTTCACTGTTGTAGAGTGAAAACACCACCAACCACATTCATGAATGATTTTGGCTCTGTTTTCATAAACCTTATGGGCACAAAATTGAATTTCACATAATTTATAAATGTCAGACCACACAGTGTTCTTGCCCATATTTTTTCAACCATTTAAGAATGCAAAATATTCTAAGCTTGTGAGCTATGAAAAACAGATGGTGGGTTAGATTTGCCCATGATCTTTGATCTCCTGACTATAGGGATTTGAAATTTACCAAAAAATCATTATTAGTGTACAGCATCTTAGAAGTTTTTTTTTTTTTTTGGTACCGGGGATTGAACTCGGGTCCTTGGTGCTTGCGCAGCAGGCAGTGAAACCACTGAGCTAAATCTTTGGCCCAGAAGCTTTTTATAAGCTCTAAATTTTATATGTTCCAAATTAGATGGGGTTACAATGCACCAGATAATCCAAGTGAGGAAGAAAAGGATAATGCTTAGAAACGTGACTCTGGTGTGATCTTGTAGACCTTATCTTACCAGTGTAGCTGCTATTTGTAAACTGGGTACAGGGAAGCAGCTGTTATCATTGTTGTAATTGTTATCACCTTCGGGAGTCTAGGAGTTCACTGTATTGACCCTCTTTCTGGTAATGCTCAGAGGAATTACATAAGTTGCATATTGAATAAGAAGGGTGCACAGGTAATGGGGGAAAAAAAAATAAGAACCAAGATATATCATGTACAGGTACAAACACCCAGTGATAAATGTAAATGAATTGTATACCTAAAATGTACCAATAAAAGAACTAAAAAAAAAAAGAAATTTGAATCCAGGCTTGACTCTAAGTCTTGGGCTTTTTAATATTCAGTAATTTTAAGAGTAACTCCCTCAAATCAATCTGCTTCCTGTGCCCAGTTTACAGAGTGCCCATTGATACTCTCATCGCCTTATACATTCAGTTCTCACAACCATGGTAATTTACATAGATAGAACCCTCTTTGGCAAGTGCTACTTTCTTACCTCCTTGTTTGTTACACAGAATAATTTAAAGTTGAGAACTGACTCTTAAAAGATGAGAAAATTGAGGCATAGATGATTATTTGCTCATTATTGTACAACTACTTAGAAGGAGTTGATACTTAATGCAGGAGTGATTTTTTTTGCATTATGTCCTATTTTCGCTCTTCACACTGCTTTATTCAGTATATAAGAAGCGTTATTTATATGGCAGGATTTTTGGTTTATTTTAGGACAAAACTTGACATTTTTATTAAAAATAGGCTATCTTGGTATTTTGAATTCTATAAGCTTTAAAAAAATCATATGGATACTTTAGTGAACTTTGAGACCATTCATGTCATGTATGTAAAAAATGGAAATTGCTAACATTCTCCTCATTCACATTTATTCATTTTAATATACAAATGGCATGCGTATTATAGAAAATTATATATTGGAAGCAAAGAGGTAGATTTTAAAAACTCATTCAATCATATCAGCCAGACAAAAATGACTATTAGCCCTTTGAAACAAAAATGAGTTTAGCCTACACCTACAGATTTGTAACTAACTTTTGTCAGCTAGTGATACAGCAGGAAGACTGTTGCCACACTTCAGGTATTGCTAATTGTTTATTTCAGTGTGTGAACTGTGTCATGTTCATTTAGGTAAACCTCTATTATTGGGCAGGCTGATTTCTCCCCCCAGATGTGGAAAACAATGCATTTTTATAAAATTGTTCAACTGTTTTCCACAAGCTGCCTCTCTAATTTGTATGATATTAATATTTTTAAGACTTTTGATGTAAGTTCATAGTTTCTTTCTAGAAAAGAATTGTCTATTTATGTTCTTCATAAGGAAATCCACAGTTTGACAAGTATCATATAAATATGTTTCTTTACTAAAGAATAGCATGTACAATATGTGTTAAGTGTCCTAGAGTCTATATTTCAGTCTTGTTTTTTACATTCTTGCTTTCATACTTACATAGTGATCTGGAATAGTAATATTTAAGGTTCATAAGTGGGATTGATTATAGCTACATTATAGTTTATCTCTTAAGTCATGTTTGTGTAATTTATAGCATGCTTTGTGGGTTTTTCTGTTTGTCTATTTGCATGGCATATGTGGTAAATTTGCATGGAATGTTTAGAAAATATAAGCAAGCACTAGAATGAATTGGATGTGTTTATATCAGTCTTTGTCATTTGCCTTGGTATTTTAGAATCAGAGTCCTAATTTTTAAGACAAAATTGATATTATTAATGTCCCTTACCTACTTGTTTGCAGCCTTCTCGAGTCTTTCATGGTTAGCAAGATGTCAGTGTGCATGCCAGTTTTCACTTAGTCCTGCACGTTGGTAAGATAATTGCAGGAATGTTTTGAGAAATTTGGTGAATTCTTTTTTCTTATAGTTTTAATTTTTCATAGTTTTTCCATCATTTTGAATTCGGAACCCAAAGGAAAGCTATGAATTAGGCTTCTTTGGATCCAGTGCACTGTTGTACTTAAATTATGGTAATTTCATACCATCAGTTAGTAGAAGCATAAAATGTTAGGGTTGAATAAACAATATAGATTATATAGTCCAGCTTCTTCAGTATTCCCTTCTTCAGCAATCCCTTCTTCAGTATTCTTGGTTGCTCTACTAGAAGAGCCATAGTAAAGCATTAATCCACTTCATTTAATTTTACAATATAAGAGGAATACAAGATTTTTACCCTAATGGAACTTAAAGTATGCAGTGTTCCTAAAGGAATTAATGAAGAGGTTTAGTGACAAATTTTGGATTCATGATTATATATTTTGGAGCCATTTTTCTTGTACTTGTAATACTTTTGTAAAGTTCCTTCTAAATCTTTCATGTGATTGAGGAAAATATTTTTTCATCCAGATAGAAATTTTGTGTTATCTACAAATCAGGTATTTAACAAGTGGTTGAAATGAAATGGTGATTATTAAGGAAATCTAGATTGATGCTTTAAGTAGACTTTCATTTTCTTAACGTTAATATTTAAAGTGATAAAATGACAAAACTTACCTAATCCTTGCAAATTTTCAGCTGTTATGCTACACAGTTTAAGCATATACACTTACCACACCACCCCCTTATCAAACCCTTTTAAACAAAGAAAACAGACTAGAAGGATACTTTTGATAGCACTGACAGTCATTATCTTAGTTTCTTACAAAATATATAATATTTCCCTAGTCAAAAGTTATGGATAGTGGATTTCCATTTTTTATATCTCATCTGGATATGTAACTTTATTACTTCAGTGCTTGACTAACTTTTGCCTTGGTGATCTGTTGAGCTTTGTTCCTGAGCTGTACTAATCATGCTTATTGTTTGAATGTTTGGTACAGGAAGCGAGCAGCTGCAAAGCATCTAATAGAACGCTACTACCACCAGTTAACTGAGGGCTGTGGAAATGAGGCCTGCACGAATGAGTTTTGTGCTTCCTGTCCAACTTTTCTTCGTATGGATAACAATGCAGCAGCTATTAAAGCCCTCGAGCTTTATAAGATTAATGCAAAACTCTGTGATCCTCATCCCTCCAAGAAAGGAGCAAGCTCAGCTTACCTTGAGAACTCGAAAGGTGCCCCTAACAACTCTGAGATAAAAATGAACAAGAAGGATGGAAAAGGAGCTAGAATTGATTTTAAAGGTAAGCTGCTCATTTTTAATTGACAATTGTTGATTAAAACCATATTAGAGATTAAAGTGTGTGAGATTTTGTTGTTTTGCTTTAACTGCCTTCCACAGGTTTAGTGGTTGCTAATTAGAAGCGAATTATAATCTAGAAGTTCCACTGGGAAGATTGTACTAAATTGAAGTTAATCTCTTCAACTAGGCCACAAAGACTGTTTAAATTATTATATAACTGGATTGAATATTTGCCATGAGCTCTGGAACGCCAAGAAGCAGAAAGACTAGGGAGTTATTTTTTCCATATTAGAAAGCAAGGCAAACTATTGTAATCATTACCTGAGAAATATGCTTATCCTAATAATTTCTTCCCATATCCTGTCCACTCCTCCAGGCATTTGGTGCTTGCTGCCAAAGACCATGACCTGCCAATGGCAGTCTTCTCTAAAGCTTTTAGTTTTTTAAAAATAGCACTACATTCTAAAATTTCTTAAAACTTTCTCCTGCCATACCTTCAAGCTTGTTTTCTGTCAGTGAAGGTAATTAAGTATTCGTATTTATGAGGTATAGAAGCTTCGAACAACTGGCAGGGTTTAGCCCCATCATAGAGGCAAATGTATTTAAAAGAGAAAGCTTTTCATGTAAGATATATGTAAATTAGGGAATACCTCTAAATATTTTTGTAACATCATTTGAAACAAGTTTAAATGAATTAGTGGCATGGAGTTGTACTGTCTCCTATTTCTATAATTCAGCAGCGTTTGTAACTTTACATAGCTTTATTATTCAAATTCTGTTTCTTGAATTAGCTCATGTACTGTAGAAAATAGGTGAATGTTGTCCTGTCTGTGTGTGTGTGTGTGTGTGTGTGTGTGTGTGTGTGTGTATAAGTTGCATTGATCAACTATACACATTTTTCCAGCAAGTATGCATCACAGAGTCACAGTAGATAAAGTAGAATGTACAACTGTAGCTAAACAGATCCAACCTTGGGGAAATACTATGCATTATGGATGTATTCATCTTGTTTTGGGCCCTGTGATCATTCTTAGAGGTGCTTGTGTGGTTCTTCCCAGTCTTTATGCTCCTTGCTTTTTGCAGAAGCTTGCATAATTTATCAAGTTCAGCCTTTCCTTACTCCTTTCTCACAGTACGTTACTGTCACACCCACTTCTTTTTTTACCCAGTGTACTATATTTAATATGGTATTTTTCTAGTAGAATTAATAGATGGTTTAATTATACTGGTACTTTTGTTCTGATTATTAATGTTTGTTATCTCCAGCTACAAAATTGCGTAGGCATTAGTTTCCCCTAGCTTTGTTTTTGCATGAGATTTTAAGTACAAAATTTTATGATTCAACTATTTTAGGAACATACATATATCTCAAAATACACTCATTAGAAAAATATTTATACTGGTTATTAAAAATACTTAATTTTCAGTAGAACATCTATTGATAAACAGGTTTATTATAATGTTTTTTGTTTATATACACAAACTCAGTCTAACATTTTAAAACGTGGTATGTGCAAAGAGTATTGGCATATTCTAGGTAGGAGTAGTAGAATGTCAGCATCACTTGATGAAGATAATTCTGAAAGCATGATATGTCAACAGAAGTTATATGGGTCTCTAATGTTGCTCTCCCTCAGACAGACCCTGCTACTGTACACAAAACAAGTTTTTATTAAAATCTTATGATTTGATAATTAGGAAAGTGTTTTATGTCCTAACAAGATATTTATAGTAGGTGTTTTCTGTGCTTTGGTTTTTATTTAGGAAATTCGAAGGGAGTTTTGTGTTGCCTTATAAGAAGGTACTATCACATTTTCCCATTAGAGTAATGAGAAATAGATTCCTGGTGAGTGGTTTTATACCTTTTAGGAAGAGATTACTGATGTTTCAGAAAAGACATCAATATATTCCTAATAGAATACACCTAACAATTAGTTCTTGAAAGGGTAGAGCCCATAAGAAGTAACTACAGGTGTGGACATTCTTGTAGCCTAGCCACAGATCAGATCAGTGACATAATGAAATTTGGTTTTCTTGGGATTTAACTTTTGGAGAACATTCCCTCAATAATTGCTTACATTTTTTATTGTCTTGCTGTGGAGGAAGTACATTCAAGCAACGAAAAGGTCATGTTAACTTCTCTTTTTGCATGGTGGTTAGTATATGTTTAAGGGTATGTTTGGCATGAGAAAGATAGAATTGTTAGCATAACTCTAAAATTGTCCTCTAAAGTAGTCTAATGATGAAAATCTATCACTCTCAAGATGAAAGTGATAGATTGACTGTTTTCAGTATTATTAAATATTTTCAGTATTGTTTCAATAATTGCAGAATTTTGATAGCCAAAATACATCTTTTTTCCCCCTGTAAAATAAAGTATCTTTCATTGTGTTAGCAGAAAAGGGAAAGCCTTGGCCTGAAAGTAACACATCTCAAACAACTGGAAAATATGATCCAACTCTGCCTAGGAAGAAGAGGAAATAGATTTTGTTGATCACATAGTTTGTGTTTTACATCTTTCCACTGTTTGTTTTGTCACCCCACATTCTGAGTGCTGGGGATCGAGTCCAGGGCCTCATGCATCCCAGTCGAGGACACTGCCCTTGAGCTACCTCACCAGCTCAGCCCGTCCCAGTCTGTTTTTAATAGCCCCAGATTATTGCCAGTCCCTCTGCTGAGAGTTATTCTAATTCTTGGTTATAGATAGCAGTTTTTACTTTAGAGTTTATGAGAATTGTTACAGTCTTCTCGCAAACCAATTTGTTTTTAACACCGAGAGGTGCTGTTTCTAAAAGATGGTGCTGAAGGATTTTGTTAAAATCTTGTCTCAGTCTTTTGAGAATAGAACAAAGAAAAGCTTTTTGGAAGAATAGTATTTCTTCTGTACAGCAAGGTTGGAATAGGGTATTGTGATGAAACAGCACATGATCCAGTGGTTTGCATTTAAAATTAAAACTACTGATAGACACCTTCATTGCAGAGGGAATTGGAACTGTTATGACCTCTAGCAGCTATGTATTGTTGAAAGAATGTAAAAGAATGGGTATGGTTGTTGGTATTAACAGTTGGTAAAAGAAAGCATACTATTTTGATTGCTGAATTACTTAAAAAGTATATACTTTTACAAAGGAATTTTAATTCATGAATGATACTGAGTAAATTTTGGGCTGTTTTACTTTTCCCTAGTATGTAGTAAGTACAACAGAGCAAGCATGTACAAAATACAAAAATAAATATTCTCTTTTTTCCTTCTAATTTTCTAGATGTGACTTATCTTACTGAAGAACTGGTGTATGAAATTCTTGAAATATGTAGAGAGAGAGAGGATTATTCCCCTTTAATCCGTGTTATTGGAAGAGTTTTTTCGAGTGCTGAGGCATTGGTACAGAGCTTTCGGAAGGTCAAACAGCACACCAAGGAAGAGCTGAAATCTCTTCAAGGAAAGGATGAAGACAAGGATGAAGATGAAAAGGAAAAAGCTGCATGTTCTGCCGCTGCTATGGAAGAAGATTCGGAAGCATCTTCCTCCAGGATAGTTGATAGCTCACAGGGAGACAACAATTTACAAAAATTAGGTCCCGATGATGTGTCTGTAGATATTGATGCTATTAGAAGAGTCTATACCAGATTGCTCTCCAATGAAAAAATAGAAACTGCTTTTCTTAATGCACTTGTATATTTGTCACCTAATGTAGAATGTGACTTGACATATCATAACGTATACTCTCGTGATCCTAATTACCTGAATTTGTTTATTATTGTAATGGAGAATAGGAATCTCCACAGTCCTGAATATCTGGAAATGGCATTGCCATTGTTTTGCAAAGCAATGAGCAAGTTACCCCTTGCAGCCCAAGGGAAACTGATTAGACTATGGTCTAAATACAGTGCAGACCAGATTCGGAGAATGATGGAAACGTTTCAGCAACTTATTACTTACAAAGTCATAAGCAATGAATTTAACAGTCGAAATCTAGTGAATGATGATGATGCTATTGTTGCTGCTTCAAAATGCTTAAAAATGGTTTACTATGCAAATGTCGTGGGAGGGGAAGTGGACACAAATCACAATGAGGAAGACGATGAAGAGCCCATCCCTGAGTCCAGCGAATTGACACTGCAAGAGCTTTTGGGAGAGGAAAGAAGAAACAAGAAAGGTCCTCGAGTGGACCCACTGGAAACTGAACTTGGTGTTAAAACTCTGGACTGTCGAAAGCCACTTATCTCTTTTGAGGAGTTCATTAATGAACCACTGAATGATGTTCTAGAAATGGATAAAGATTATACTTTTTTCAAAGTAGAAACAGAGAACAAATTTTCTTTTATGACATGTCCCTTCATATTGAATGCTGTCACAAAAAATTTGGGATTATATTATGACAATAGAATTCGTATGTACAGTGAACGAAGAATCACTGTTCTCTACAGCCTAGTTCAAGGACAGCAGTTGAATCCATATTTGAGACTCAAAGTCAGACGTGACCATATCATAGATGATGCACTTGTCCGGGTAAGTTTGGCTACAGCTTAAAATCAGTACTAAAACCCCAGTGGTGGGGATATTGAGATGCAGTAGTGAATTCCTTTTAAAAGGTGATTGTTGGGGAAAATAAGTGTCACAGCCTAGGAACATGTGGACATTTTTTATCTGCCATACAAGTATTTTACTTTTGTTATTCCTGACCAAGTTTATAAATGTGTTCTACAAAGTCCTGGTTGACTTATCTTTACTCTGTGTGAAAACAGTGGGTTTTCTAAATCTTGCAAAGTTCCCCCACAAGTTTCTCCCATTCAACAGAGAAGTGGAACTGAGGAACAAGGGAAATGGGAAGAGTACCTGATGGTAAGTTTGGATGTGAGGTCTAAGGAGGCGTGTCACAGTAAATCTACATCATAAAGTTTTAATTAAGTAGGGCCCCAAAACCTCCATGACGCAGAATTCGAGTTGTATTATTATGAACTTAATAAGGTAAGCAGAGCAGGTGGGTACATGTATGTCAGTAAGATTTTGGAGTCCTAGTAAGCCACTCAGAATGTCCTTGTATGGTACTGCATGGTTTTGGTAGTTTTTCTCACTTACATTTTTGTAGGGACAATTCTAGAAGTAGAAATGAGAAACTTTTGGGTAAGCTCAGCATTCATCCTTTTTTAAATCCAGCATAGACAGATGAAAGGACCTCTGCACAGGGAGTTTTGGCATTTTCCCTGCTGTTAACAGTGGGCATGCACAGAGAGGCCTGGAGTGCCTTGTCCACTTAACGTTCCTACACCCTGCCACTCTGTGCAGTGATGACAAGTAAGTGGGTGGATGCCAGGTGATCAGGAAATGCAGTAATTATTCACATGGCCCCATGCTACATGAGTCAAATAGAAAGGGCACCAGGAAGCCAGCGATGATGGGTTACTTCAGTCAGCTCAGACTCCTTTCTGCTTCTGCTGAAAAACTGCTTTCATTTCTTAAATCATGTGGAACCTTTCTTCAACTTACTTCTTTTTGGTACTGGGGATCAAACTCGAGACCTTGTGCTTGGGAGGCAGGTGGCAGAACCACTGAGCTACATCCATGGCCCTTCAACATTTTTGACATTTTAAAAAACTAGGAACATGGAAAGGCACAGAATCTTTAGTGTTTAACTTTGAAATGGCAAACAACTTTACCCAGTGGTTTATAGTTCTATTAATTCTGTGTCTTTACAAATCCATTCCAAAACCAAAATACAGTTTTTAAATAAATATCCCTGTTTCCTAGTTGTCTGTGTTGCGGGTTCTTATCTTTATTAGTTTAGAAGGTTGACTAATTTTAGTTGACGTTAAATTTTACTTGAAAAACAAAGAGCAATTACAGGGATACCTATTACTATCAGTATTATAAAACCTTTCAATAAAGCGTCCTCTGCCAAATGTAATTTGGTAAAATCTAGCCAGCAGCCTTTATACATCTGATGATGTTTTTATATTGAGATGACATCCTATCTTAGTTCTGGGAATACTTTTGTACCTGGTCATTTAAAAAAAAAAAAAGCTCCATAGGATTTTGTCTGATAGCTAATTAAAACCAGAAATTAAAAGTCTTTTAATCTAGTAATTGTGAAATTAAGAATCTAATAAGTCACATAAGAAGCAGATGTCATTTCATCCAGTCTGTCTTTCCCCAGTTGTCTCTATTAAATTATATACAGAATATATACTGTACTTAAAGAAATAACCTGTATCTAAAAATCCATGTCTGTATTATATACTATTTTTTCAAAAAGGTAGGCCACCCATGTATCTTTAAATGATACAGTATTTTAAAGAATCGTATTCTTCTGAGAATAGTACTCTAAAATAGATGATAATTGGAAATTTTTACTGGAATTTTTACAATTCCAGGCAGCACTGGAAAGATGCAAACAATGGAAATACATTGCTGGAGGAGTCAGGGAGAGCACAGTGCCCAGTGACCATTGAGATTCTTTGATGGAAAAGCAAGTGTTGGCTGTACAAGGTGACCCACAGTTGGGATCCCATAAGGAAGCACAACACCTGAGGGTGTTTAAGACCATGGGTGCACTTGACATTGTGTGACCTGGGCAACTCAACCTCCCAGAATTCAGGTGCCAAGTATTTTTTAAATTTTTCTTTTAAAATAGTATTTATGTTTTCATGGATCCTGATTCTAAAGTTAATATATATAGTCATTGGGGAAAACTGAAAGATTAAAAAGCATAACGAAGAAAATAGAAGTCACTCGCTTTCAAAAATGAAATTATTACCAGCATTGTGAAGAGTCGGTGAGCCACAGTAGTCAAGAGCTTGGTCCATTGTTAGTCTCCTCTCTGACTTGACTGCGATTTCAGCAAGTTGTTTAACCTTTCATTACTTCACGGTTCCCATTTGTAAAATAGTTAATAACATTACTTGCCCGATAAGGTTGTTGTGGAAATGAATGAAGTGCCATGTGTCAAGTGGTTCAGAAGTTGTTTATTTCACAAGAACATTTGTTGTTGCTGTTCTTCCTAGAATATTTTTGTTTGATGCCATAGTGGTTAAATTTTCAGACAACCCTGGAAAAAGTTTTAGAGCCAGTAGAATAATAACATATTTCTAAGTGCTGACTTTGTGTAGGGAATTAATTAAGTACCTCACATAGTATTAATGCTGTTTGGTATTATTGCTTATTTTAGATGAGATCAGGCACATTCAGGGTAGATGAAACTAAGGCAAAGTGAGGTGAAGTTGTTTACAGTGAAAATAATGATATATGTTCTTTTGGTACCCAAGGTAGGGAGCACAGAAGAGTAATTGGTGGAACTGAACATGTGATATCTTAGGAATGAAGACAAGTTTGCCTCAGTTGTCATGTGACATGTCTTAGGAGGAGCTAAAAGTAGAATACAGGGCCTCTGGTTCCTATAGAAACTCTTCACCAAATTGCTTGAAAGGTTCACCTTGTTAAAGAGCCAGCTCTCACTTATTAGCCCTAACAAGAAAAGCTGTAGAAGCCATAGTCTGTCAGGCATTCTGTTTTTCATATTAGAAGTTATCATACTTAATATAAGCACATTTGACTGTAATGGGAAGGCAAGTAGAAATGTTTACTTACATCCTTTAACCTTCAGCCAGTTGAGAACTGCGAGAAGAAAACTAGGAATGGGTTACATAGCAATATGGAGCATTTACCTAGTACCAAATTTGAGCAGAGATGCTAATTGTAATCCTAGGCCTCAGTTTGCAACATGTTACCACCTGGCACTTTTGAGGGGCAGGGCCAGTGCTAGGTATTGAACCCAGGCCTCACACCTGCTGAGCTACAGCCCTGGCCCAAGAATTATTTTTAAACTAAGGTAATTTTCAAATCTGCATTTGTATTAAGTCTTCACAGTCCTGCAGGTTTTCCTTTGTGCAGGAGGAAACAGGAGTTGAGTTACTTGCGGAAGGGGGCAGAGGCGAAAAGTTGGGCTGGGTATGTAGCTCAGCGGCATGGTAACTGCCTAGCATCTTCAAAGCTCTGGGTTCAGTTTCCAGGACGGACAGGACAGGACAGCACTGGGGAGGATGAGGACAGGGAGAAGGTCAGGGCTTACCTTAACTGACAGTTCAGACCAGGAAGACGCACTCTGAGACTTAATCTCTCTCCACAATGAAATGCTGCCTGAAATGGAGATTCTTTGATACACATTCCCTTAGAAAGGATTTCACAAGTGTTGGAGACCACTGCTGAAGAAGACAGTCTTTAAAGACTGAATTCACAGACTCATGAAAATATCCAGGATACAGTTTGAGTCCGTTTTTTGCAACTTTTCTCAAGTGCATCCCCTAGTAATACATTACATAATACATATTCATCTGTACATCTAATTGAAACCAAAGTTTTAAAAAACATTAGGTTCCAGTGCAATTGGAATACAGTCCTTTTTCCCCTTCTTGGTTACAGTCCACTAAATGACATAGACTGCCCACTAATGAGTTGCAGTTAACAGTTTGAAAAACATGGATCTAAGTAACTGGACCTGGTTCACTTATTTATGAGATTTTATTTTCTTTTTTATGGCTCCTGGAATGTTATGTAATTACTTTTGGACTATAATATACTTATTCCAATGATTTTGCATTGTTCAAGATCATTTTTAAAGCTACACTTGCAGTAGAATAACCTAACATCTTTACCATTTGCGAGTTCTTTACCTTGAAGCATGAATTTTTCTTTTAAATAAACAACAGACATGTGGACGTAATTTAGCAAATAAGATAATCAGAATACTTTTAGCAAATCTTTGATAAAAATAAAACCACTTACAGCGTAAATATTTCACATTAGAACCATGTTGACTAATCTCAATTAATCTCAGTAATTCAATGAATTATTGTACAGATAAAAAAAAGTATTTGGTAAAATATTTATAGTTCAAGAAAGAGTTGGTTAACATGTTAAGAGGCAGCACTTTAACCTACATTCATGAAATGGGTATGAGGACAATACTAAGCGCTATTGTGAGAGACCATACACTGCTTTGCTGTTTATCCAGTATGTTTTTCTTAGTTTAAATTATCTTAATGACTTAATGCTTAGTAAATTCCAACAAACATAAAGGACTAGTAGTAAGTACTTTTGAAGTCAACCTTCCGTACTCCATTATTTTTGCTGAAATGATGTAGTGTCAGTAGTCAAGCAAGCACCTTGCTGTCTTAATTTGTTCTACTTCCTGTGAACCCCACATTTGTTGTATACAAGAAACAGAAAACCTAATTTTCTACTATATAGTAATTCCATAATAAATCAATAAAGTTAGAAATAACCCTTTTATTCTTCATTTTGTTTCTGTCGTGTTTTTCTATTTCTGTGAGACTGGATCTGTATTTACAGGCCTTAAAAAAAAATCAGTGTGTGTCCTATTTCTGTTTTAAAAGAAAAAGTCAAGATCTTCTGTGTCTTCCCTACCTCTGCTCCTTATTTTTACTTGTTTCTTCTACTTTATTTTGCTTTTATCCTGATACCAGCAGTAATCTTTTTGTATTTGTCTTATCGATCATAGCTAGAGATGATTGCTATGGAAAATCCTGCAGACTTGAAGAAACAATTGTATGTGGAATTTGAAGGAGAACAAGGAGTTGATGAGGGTGGTGTTTCCAAAGAATTTTTTCAGTTGGTTGTGGAGGAAATCTTCAATCCAGATATTGGTAAATATTTTAGTAATACGACTATGGTATCTTATCCTCTTGAGTTAAGAATTTGTTTACTTTGGCTTATGAATATTCTCAGGTATGCAGAGCAGCAAAAGAAGATTTTAGTATGGACTACCTACAATTACAGATTAGTTTATGCTTTAGGAACTGATCCATATCAACTCATTTACTCACATTCTTATTTAAATTACTTAGCCAAATATTCTAAAATTTAATGGAGGGCCAGGGATGTAGCTCAGTGGCACAGCACCTGCCTGGCAAGCACAAGGCCCTGAGTTCAATTCCTGTACCAAAACAAAACAATAAAATTTAATGTAAACACCTTAGAATGTTATATTTAGAAAAATTTAGGTGATTCCTTTTTGTGGTATAAAACAGTCACCAAATACAGTGTTTCTGAACTTGAGAGTGGTGTGAAGAGCATTTGCTGAGAGAATATCTCTCAAATGTATTGTCTTCAGAGTTGACAAAAAACACTAACTCATACCAGGTTAATTAGTTCTGTTTGATACAAGATTTTTTGGGAAGTTCAGTGCAGCTTAGTGGTAGAACCCCAGCATCGTCTAAAATAAATACATTCTTGTGACCTAATGTTACTGTAATATTTCCTACGAACCACTCCAGAACTCTTTTCCATACCACACCTAACAATATTTGCCCCCTAAAATAGTTTCCATGTGAACACAGTTTGGGAAAGGCAGATTATATATGTCAGTCAGAAGATTCAGGGTCACAGTCTGATTTTATCCCTTGTCTTGAGCAATGGAGGCAAAGTAGAATAGGGAAGGACGTAGCCTTTTGAGTACTCTACTTAAGTGGTTAATTCTGAGCTCATTCAACTCCTACAGTATAACTGCTATTGGGCTTGCATTTAAGTGAGGAAAAATACAGGAAAAGATTTTCACTAAAAGAACCATCAGAATTGTGAGAAATGTGGCATAGAATACTTGACATTATTTTCCCTAAGCTTTGAGAATTGGCTGGTACAGCCTGTGGATTTTTAGTTCTGTGTGCACATTGAATGAACCTTGTTGTTGTTCTTAGTCATACATGTGGGTGTGCATGTGTGCATGTGCCCATGTGTGTTATTCTCATCTGTTTAGAGCCATGACATAAATACATAGTGAAGGTAAGACTAACCTCTATATTCTACATACTGTGTGTTATTAATAGAAGCCTGTGCCATCTGTATGTAATTTGTTCACAGAAATCTAGGGCCACACAAAACCAGGCCCTTTTTGAGATGCAAACTTTGTTTATTAACTTCATGACCGATGTATAAGCTTTGTAAGTTTGTTAAACCTTGGCTGTATCTTCTGATACAACTAGAACTGTTGAACATTAGGTATAAACCATACTTATATTATGTACAGAGAAATTTTTTTTTTAAAGACTTAGATTAGGCAGTTCCAGTCAATACTGAGGTTGTTGAAAAGATGGCATCAGTGTATATCACGATGGAATATTTCACAGTAGACATCCTGTATGGCGTTTTTCTTCCAGGAACCGGAAAAATACTCCCCAAATGGGATCTTCTTGAACTTCAAAATTGCCATCTTTCATAGATGGAAATTAGAGTAATGGCTTATGTGATTTATACTTTGATTAATCTGTAGTTCATTGTTCTTGAGACCAAGGACATGCATTTGTGACAGTTCATCAGACCCATTGCTTTTAAGCTGAGGTTTTTAGCACTTCATGAATGTTGTAAGATGGTTCATTAAGAAAATAGATCTAAACTGTGAAACTGTTGGATAACTTTGAAACCATTATTTTATAACATTGCATTAGAAAAATAGTCTTAAGCGTAATTTATGCTCTTAGTGTTCAAGAACACATTTTAAAATTTCTTTTCAGCTTAAACTAAAAATGAAGATGAAGGAGCATTTTTAGAGTTTAAATTTTTTAATAGACTTAAACACATTTATGTAGTACATTATTTGATTTATAAGTTCTTCTATTGAAAACTACAAATTTTTACAGACCTAATTTTTAAAATGTTTTCATTCAGTTTCACAGTAGTAACTAAAGAACATATAGAAAAATGAAAAAAATGTAAATTTAGTTAAAATATTTAACATTCTGAGACATATATTTAAAAAGGAAGAAGATAATTCACCAGCAATGCTTATTCAGATAGATAAAACTGAAGATAACTTTTCTAAAGAGTAATACTAAAGGGCCGGGGATTTAGCTCAGTGGTTTCACTGCCTGTTGCACAAGCGCAAGGACCTGAGTTCGATCCCCGCTACCAAAAAAAAAAAAGAATAATACTAAAAATGTCTCTGAAGTTTGGTTTTTGAAAAGTGAAGGCCATGTGAAACTGAGACTACAAAACTACTTTTTTAAAAGTCATCAAGGTTAGAGAAAATAAAACTACTTGTATTATAAAAAATAAATAAAAATTAAAAAAATTAAAAAACTACTTTTTTATATGCACAATTAATGTGTGTATTACATAGCTTTATCAGTTTTATCTCTTTTTTATGTTTTTGGAATCATGACTTTGGTTTTGCATTTTTCAGTCATTTTGTGGTAAAACCTGAATAGAAAATAACCTTTCATGTGTTAGTACATTAGGAAAATTGAATTTAATGAAAAACTTTTCTACTGTCCTAAAAATGCTACTAAGATTGCTTATTTTGTTTCCTTGGCTTCCTAAAATTACTTACAGATATTTGCCACATTACTCTATTTGGATGTTATTTTCTCACATGCAAATGTAATGGAAAGAATTTTTGTAAAAGAAAAAGGTTTTATATACCCTACTATGTTTTAAGTTTTACATGTGTAGTTGTTTCATAATTACATCTATATTGTTCACCATTTGTTTTTCATAAAATACAAAAGTAATGCATTTTAAAAAATTATTTCTTGTAGGTATGTTCACATATGATGAATCTACAAAGTTATTTTGGTTTAATCCATCTTCTTTTGAAACTGAGGGTCAGTTTACTCTGATTGGCATAGTACTGGGTCTGGCTATTTACAATAACTGCATCCTGGATGTTCATTTCCCCATGGTTGTATACAGGAAGCTAATGGGGAAAAAAGGAACTTTTCGTGACTTGGGAGACTCCCACCCAGTAAGTTGTCATTTTTTATTGTTTCATATTTTATTTATATGCAAAAACACAGTTTGATGTGTATAAATATTAAAGTTTTTGTTTGGAATCTGTTGAGATATACACACACACTCAGCAAAAGTAAAGGAATTTTTTGATCTGATAAATACGACAAACACTTAAAAACTCAGGGAGGAAAGTGTTAAAATCTGCTTTCAGCAAGTAGCTTTTTTTGTTTGTTTGTTTTTTGGTACGGGGGATCAAACTCAGGACCTTGCCCTTGCAAAGCAGGTGGTGGAACCACTGAGCTAAATCCCCAGCCCTAGCAAGTAGCTTTTTAAGGCTGATATCATAGAGAAATGTTTTAAAATATTTTGTTTGTTTTCAGCACATTCTCAGCAAGGCCATAACTCATATGTCTTGCAGCTCAGTGGCTCTGATTTGAATGTGTTAATGTTCCTCCTGGCTGGAACCACCAATGGTATGTGCATGGCCATCCCGTCGGGCAGCATGGGACAGTACAGCATGCACCTACCACTGGTGGTCCCAGCCAGTGGAAAGGTGTAGTGCAACTCTGTGACTCTGCCAGTTGCAGTCAGAGCTGCCCTACCTTGAGATAGGAGAGCTCTCAGAGAGCGTGGTGTGAAGGCTGCTGAATCGATGGTGTGAGGGTTCTCAGCCAAGAATGAGTCATCTATCACCTATGACTGACGGTCGTTTCTAGATTATGCACTTTTTAGGGGATCAGAGGGATATTTTCTGTGCTTTCATTCTTACTGACACGGTTAAGTTTTTGCGTTTCTCTGAAGAGTGGTACAAACTGTTTGCTGTAGTTTGGAGTTCTAGGCAGCCTCACATTTCCATTTCTGGTTGGTAGGTTTTACATCAGAGTTTAAAAGACTTACTGGAATATGAAGGGAATGTGGAAGATGACATGATGATCACTTTCCAGATATCGCAGACAGATCTTTTTGGTAACCCAATGATGTATAATCTAAAGGAAAATGGTGATAAAATTCCAATTACAAACGAGAACAGGAAGGTAATGCTTTTATATCATCATTTTTGTTTATTAATAATGCCTGCTTATCATTTTCCAAAACAAATCTAGTGTAATTTGAACCAAGAACAAAGAAACCAAATACAGACTTCCTCGTTTAACAACTGAGTCATGGTCATGCAACTAGATCATTAAAATGAATTAGTTGCTAACTGAGGAATTATGTATATTATATACATTATAATATTAAAAACAAAGATAAGATAAAAGGAAACTCCAACTTCATGACTTTGCTTTTATTTGCCTAACTTTTTTAGGGGGGGAAACAGGATCTTGCTCTGTAATTCAGGCTGGCCTTGAACTCGCTATGTAGCCCAGGCTGGCCTAGAACTTGCAGCATTCCTCCTCCTAAGTGTCAGCCTCCTGAGTGTCACCTGGCTCTGTTTGCCCAACCCTTGCGTGTAGTACAGTAATATATAACAAGATAAAACTACAGTACTATACCGTACGATCAGCAAAAACTACGGTACCATGTAAACAAGGTGTGCTGTTTATTGAGGCTGTATAAACAAAATGTAAAATACTGTACAAAAAAAAAAAGATAAGTCATAAGTCCTAACAGTCGTTATTAACCAGGTGGGTCATACATTAAACAAGGATACCTGTAATCCAAATCATGTGAATGCTACTTTTTTAAAAACCTTAAATATAAGCCAGTATGGTAGCACAGAATTGGGTAGTAATGTACCCATTTTGAAGATAGAGGACATTGAATAGGAGAGAATGAGAAGCTAACTCTTTATACCAGTGTAAAGTGGGAAACAGAGCCTTCCCAGTCAGACCTTACAGGGGACCAAGATTGTGTGATTAAGGTCTTCATCATAGAACAAATGAGAATGGTATTGCGTGCACACATGTATTTCCTATATACTTCAGAAAAGCAGTCTTTACCTCAGATTTGTATCTCTGTTGATTAAAAAATGTACCTCTAGAAGTAAGGAATAACCCAGAGTATCACAGGAAAATTATAGTTAAGTATGTTTTATACCTTTAAGAGATGTGTTACATCAATATAATTTTTTGATAAAATTGTCACACACTAAGGATGCAAAGTACACTTCCATTCTAAGATTTGGTGCAGTAGCTTAGCTTATCAAGCAAAACCCCAGCATTTTTGCTGAGCCGGATACAGTAGGCAGCTTGGCTACATACTTTATATTAGCAAACATGGTTTGCTCCAGTCTACTACATTACATACACTCTATTAAAACTGACTTTTTAAAAAAAATTTTTTTTTTTTGACAAAAAATGGGGGATTGAACCTGGGACCTTACACTTGCTGAGCAAGCACTGTATCCCCAGCCCTAAATCTACTGACTTGTGTATGTATATATTTTATGGGTATACATGGTGTAAGTATGTCTCTGTTTGCCTACTTGGTTGAAGACTAAAGCATTGTATCAAGGCCCCACCTTTTATATTGAGACCTGTTTAATACACTATCAAAATTGAAATTTACATATAATTTATGTACATGATTTTTTATAGCTTAATAGCTATCAAAATTGTGAAATTTTAAGTATTTTTCTTTGTATGTGTAAAATTCTAATTTTTGCAAATAATTCTTGAATGCTTTTCTTGAAAAAATAAAAAAACTGTGTAGCCCAATAGCTTGTTGTGTTTTATCTGTATAGCAAAAGTTCTTTTTGTTTAATGTTTTCCATAGGAATTTGTCAATCTCTATTCTGACTACATTCTCAATAAATCAGTAGAAAAACAGTTCAAGGCTTTTCGCAGAGGTTTTCATATGGTGACCAATGAATCTCCCTTGAAGTACTTGTTCAGACCAGAAGAAATTGAATTGCTTATATGTGGAAGCCGGGTAAGAAAGCAGACGTCTACAAAGAATAAAAAAAGTATTGATTTATTGTTTGTAATGATGTAGTGTAGAAGATGTTAAGACATATTTTCTTGAATTTGCAGAATCTAGATTTCCAGGCACTAGAAGAAACTACAGAATATGACGGTGGCTATACCAGGGACTCTGTTGTGATTAGGTGAGGTGCTTAATTCTTAAAAGGAAGATTGATGCTCCAGAGGAGTGTGTATGCTTTATGCTTCCAGCCTGTGTCTCTAGGTACTGCTGCACAAATGAGCAGACTCACAGATTTCTCATCTGTAAAGTTATCTCTAATATATTATGTATTTGTAATGCCATCATCAATTTCTAGAGTTACCGTCATGGTTTATTTTATGAATGAAATGTTTTATGCAAGTCTCATGTTTTCTCCTGCATTGGGTTCTAAATTATCTCATTCCTGGTGACATGTGAAATGATACATTCTTTTATTTGATCCAGATGATAATATGAGAAGATACATTCATAACTAGTATTTCCATACTTATATATGTTTATGTATTTATGTATATATGTACTACTACATATATACTATTATTTCCAAATAATTCCAAGATAGGTATTTCTAGTTCTACTGCCCCCAGTCAAATGCCCTTGTTACGGTAGAGTCTGCTTATGTGTCCTACTCTACCCAATCCTGAAAAACAGGCATTCCCACCCCTTGCTGAGATTGGTAAGAGGGACTGAAGTGCTCTTTTTACACCCACTGGTGGGGCAAGGTGCAAAGCCATGCAAACAGGTACCTTCCTTCAGGTTATTGTTCTAGACTTCAAGTATGTAAACATCAGAATGAATGATGACTTTATCTAGCAGTAAAGTTGTTTTAAGTTACATTATTATTTTTGATCATTTACTTTGTCCTTTATGTTGTACAGATATAGGAAGTTACTTATATCTCCTCTTTCTAGTACACTGTCTTTGTAGCACCAGTCACGAATGTATTTACTTTGACCAGCCATTGTCCTGTTACTTAGGGTTTCAAAGGTGATTCATAAAAGAGTTGAGATAACAGAGTGATAGGAAAGCCCCATTTGTTAGTGACAGCAATATCAGTAATATTGGTCATAAGTGTGACTTGTAGCAATTATGAATGAAAGTAGCATCTTAATGCTTTTTTGAGAATAGAAAATATCATTTACTATAATTTATGAAGTTATCCTTGATATTAAAGTCTCAATTTTATTTCTAGCTTTTATAACGTAATTCCTACTTGATATATTAAAGATCATTTATGAATATAATTTGAAGGATAAGCTAATATTAGATGAAATGACAGTAATACAGTGTCTTCTAACTTATTTTCACAGTTGATGTTTTTTAAACCTTTTAAAACTATTTCAATTCTTAATTTTGTCAGTATAAATAAGAATAATACCATGAAAAAAGGATAATACAAGTATCTTGGTTATTATTTACTTCGTAAGTTTTGGAATTCATAAAAATAAAATACGCAAGGAAGTTTTGGGGCATGTGTTTTCCAGGTGCTGAAAAAGTTGTACCTAATTTCATTTCTTGTTTAACTACTTAAAGGCATCTTTTCTGATGCTCCTGTCCCTTACCTTTTTGCAGTTGAGGGCAGGAACTGTTTTGGGTTTTTTCAAAGACTCGATTCAGATTCTGGCTTCATTGCCTTCTTGTCTTAGTTAATTTTTTCATTACTAGGACAAAATACCTGACACCCAAAGTTAAAGGAGAGGAGGAAAGGTTTATCTACCTACAGTTTGTAGAGGTTTCAGTCCATAATCGGTTGTCTCCAAGGCAGGGTAGCATGGCACAGGTATCACAGAGGAGAGACAGTTGGTGGGCAGAAGGTAGCAAAGCAAGTGATGACCTTAGCTCTTTCTGTCCCTTGTATCTTATTCAGGCAACTTAGGGCAGGTAGCACTCACACCCTTAATCCTAGTGCCCTTGATTCTAGCATTGCACCATGAAACAATCCCACCGTCACACACTCTAGATCCAGCCACTTCTGGACAAGCTCCCCCTACTGCATGAGGCTTTGGAGGGACATCTAGACACAGCCATAACACTTCCCAACTATTTCGTATGTTTTGGTTTGCACTTTCATCTAGAGCTAAAGTTTGGCTAGCTCTTTCTTTTAGCAATTTTTATTATAGATGATGATTGTCTGGATCTAGTAATTCATTAAGGTTTGTAAGATTGAAGTATTTTGATTCTTTATTCCTCCTTTTGTTATTGTAGCATTTAAAAAGTTTTACCTATACCATTCAACTCTTTGATTACCCAAAACTACAGGTTGACATGTGTGATTTACATACATGCATTTATACATATGAGACAGAATAAATGCAAGTAATCCTCTGTTCTCTACATGTTACTAATATGTCCTTGGTGATAATGGTGGTGTGGATTTTGTATAATTAAGATTTGAATACAGTGAAACATGCATAACTTACCTGGACAATTTGGAGTTGTAGCAATGTACAGCATACCTCAATTGAGATACAGACTATATCCATTACTTCAGAATTCCCAAGCATCCCCTTTCAGTCTCCATCTCCCACAGGCAACTGCTGTTTTGACTGCTGTCACAGATTAGTTTTGTCTGTTTTTGATTTTCATAGAAATGCAGTCATACCATATATGTAAATACATACTGCTTCTGTGCTCAAGAGAATGTTTTCTAGATTCATCCATGTGACTACATTAATTTATATAGCTCATTGTTTTCATGATACAGTAATATTGCATTACATGAATCACAAACTTGGTCCATTCTCCTATTGGTGGACAAGTAGACTATCTCTAGATTGGAGCCACTGTGAATAAAGCTATATGTAGACTTACTGTGAAAGTGTTATTATTTCATTTAGGCAAACATGTAGCAAGTAGTTTTTGAGTTGTGTGGTAGGCGCACATTTATAATGAACTGTAAGAATGACTTTCCCAAACGGCCGTAACATTTTACATTCTACCCAGTAATGTCAGAGTTGCAGCTTTTTCACATTTTCTCAAGAGTTTGGTAGTAGTAGTCTGTAATCCTTCTGGTAGGTATGAAATGGTATCTCACTGTGGTTTTAATTTTCATTTCGTTGTAAAGTGTCTTCCCCATTTTTAATTAGGTTTTTGTCTTTCCATTGATTGTAAGCATTTTTGTTTAAAGTATACTCTAGATAAAAGATGCATTTCTGATATGTATTTTATGAATATGTTCTCCTAGTCTGATAGCTTCTCTTTCTTCATTGAGTTTCCTTTGGACTGCCACTGAAAATCAATTTGTGTGTGAGTCTTACTTCCAGACTTTCAGACTTTCTATTTCTGCTTTGCTGATTTGTTTGTCCTTTTCCCAAAATCACACTGATGATTCCTACAGCTTTACGGAGCCAGGCCGTCAGATCAGATGCTGGGAGTCCTCCCGTTTTCTCACTGTGCTGGATCGCTGTGGTTATTTTATTTTCATGCAACTATTAGAATCATTTTGTTATATCTTTCAAGTATTTAGATCTTTGTTAGTTTGTCAGCATTGTTTTGCAGTGTTTAGTTGAAATCATTCACATTTTGGTTAGGAATAAATTTGAGTATTTCATGTTTTTGATGCTAGTATACATGGCCTTGATTTCATTTTGTTTGCTTTTTGCTAATATTTGGAAATAAAATGGATTTTTGTATGTTCATCTTATATCCTCTTATCCTCTTAAATTCACTTGTTAGTGTTTTTAAAATACATTCTTTAGAGTTTTCTGTTTAAACAGACATTTGGTCTCTAGATCAAGACACATTTCTTTCCTTGCTGTATTCCACTGCCTAGTTAGGACTTTTAGGAAACTTACTGAGAAAGAATACAGGCATACTACAGAGGTATTGTGGGCTTGCTTCTGGGCCACTTCAGTGAAGCACATACCATAATATGGTGAGTAACATGAGTTTTTTGGTTTTCCAGGACCTATTTAAAAATTATGTTTAGTACATTTACAGGGTTGGTTTGTTTTTTATTTATCTCTATTAAAAGTACTTGAACTCCTCAGAGTCATCTATTAGGTTTGGAATCCTCTCTTCCAAACTTTGTTAAGGTTGGTATTTTGGTCTCCTATAAATCACAGATATTTGAAAGCACTTCATCCATGGGCTGCAGAATGGTTGTTCTATTAGCAGGTGTAAAAACAACATTACTCTTACAGTACATCTGAGTTCTTGAGTGACTAGGTAAATTATCAATAAGCAGTAATCTTTTGAGAGTAATCTGACTGAGTGATATGTTTCAACAGTGGGCTTAAAATATTCCATAAACCATGTTATAAATAGACATGTGGTCCCCCAGGCTTTGTTCCATTTATAAAGCACAGGCAGAGTAGATTTGTTATATTTCTTATGGGCCCTAGAACTTTTGGAATGGTAAATGAGTATTATTAGTCTCTAACGAGAGTCAGCCTATCATTTGAAGCCAGGTATTGACTTTGCTTTTGCTGGGAAAGTCCTAGATGGCATGCAGCACGAGGTTGTTTTGTCTAAGTTGAAAATCTGTTGTTGAAAATCTTAGCTAGGTCTTCTAGATAACTTGCAGTTTGTACATCAGCATTTGCTGCTTCATCCTGCATTTCAAGTTATGAAGACAGCTTCTTTCTATAAAGTGCATGAAGCAGCTTCTGCTCACTTCAGACTTTTCTTCTGCAGCTTTCTCACTCTCAGTCCTCAAACAGTTGAAGTGGCTGAAGGCCTTGCTTTAGATTAGGATTTGGTTTAAGAAAATATTGTAACTAGTTGGTTCTTTGTCCTGACCACTTAAGCTTCCTCCATGTCAGCAGTAAGACTTTGAACTTTCTTACCATTCATGTGTTCACTAGAGTAGCATTTTTAATTTCCTTCAGAACTTCTTCTTTGCAATCACAACGTGGCTTAACTGGATAGGAAGTTTAGGGCCGGAGATTTAGCTCAGTGGTGCCGCCTGCCTCACAAGTTCAAGGTCTTGAGTTTGATCCCTGGTACTAAAAAAAAAAAAAGCTTAGCCTTCAGCTTATGTTGGCTTTCAACATTATCTTCCCTAAGCTTAATCATTTCTTATTTTTTATTTAAAGTGAGAGGTATGAGACTCTGCTTTCATTTGAACACTGAGAGGCCCTTGTAGGGCTATTAATTGGCCTTTTTCAATATTGTGTGTCAGGGAATAGGTTGGCCCCCAGA